AAAAAAACATAAAGATGGTGCCCCCTTGTGGAGATGTACACAAAGAGATCACACAAATATGGATGAAAAAGACTTAGATTTTTATTCATGTGGAATCAGTCATCTGGCTAAGTAATGGATTGGTGTAAAAATGGGTAACTTATTTTATCTTTTGAGAGTAAGAATGTCTGAAATGTAATAACAATATTTCTTTGAATTATTCTGAATTCTGAACTAATTATAGTTGCTTAAAGCTTAAGAGAAAATCTAATTTTGTAGCTATTTAAAAACTTGTCTCTATTAAAGCTTTCTGAGATTTTGAGAAGGTTGGTAACTGTCTTCTTTGTCTGAATTATCTGGTGCTGTTTGATTTTTCTATGATGTTATCTCTTAGGGAATGTGTCAGTACACACAATTGGGTTAACACACAAGATCATTTCCTTTTTTGTATTTTTCTGGCTAGATAGACCTCATTCCCCCCTGCCCTAAGTAAATTCCATTGTGTGTTTTGATGGTGGTAGGATTGTTATTTTTTGTGGGTCTTCGTACATATGACCTTAGCAGGATGAGAACAAGGTGAATATCTTGTTCAGAAATGGCCTTAATGCTATGGCGGCAAATTAGTGCATTTTCTGTCTTCCCTTGAGGCTTCCAGTGGGGAACCTATTCTCCAGATTTTACCTGACTCCACTTGTTTTTCAGGAGGGTTCAGATCACCATCTTGTGGGTCATGAACATGTGATGGGATCTTACTTCTTTCTTCACTTCTTTTCTATCTTTGCCCAGGTCCCCCCCCCCAAAAAAAAAAAGAAAAAAAAGCCATTTGAATAAACATTATTCTACTAGAGCTAAGTTCACTGCTTGATGAAAACCAGACCTTAATTAACCCAATATCACAAGAAGGAAAATATAGTAAGATCCAGGATCTTGCTCCCTATTTCATATCCTTTCAGCAGAAATAAATATACCTGTATGAGAAAAAACACTAGAGAAGAGAAGGAAAGCTGAAAGGAGTGATGTGATTTTATCAGTATTACACAGCTAGTGTCTGAGTGGGGACAAGAGGTCCTAATCTTCCAGGATTTTCTGTTCCCTAGTCTCTTGGTTTTCTACCCTACCTCAGTGTGTCACTAGATTTAGACTTAGACCTGAATAAACAATGATGAGAGAAAAGTTGTTCCTTTGCTAAAGTTCAGCAGTTCTTCCAAACATAAAAGTCTATAAATATGCTCGAGTTTATACCAAATACGACACATCTCATGTCAATTGTGGTGAGACTCCAAGTTTCCAAATTCAAGATTTAGGATTTTTTTAAAAAGAAGAACCAAATAAGAGTGATATTAATTCATTGTCAATTACAAACTATTAGGTTGGAACACTCTACTTAGTTGTTTTGGTGATAGCAACATAAAATGTAATCTAGTTGTACAACTAAGCTCCAAGGCAGAAGTCATTACTTTCTGCTTTCTTTTTAGAATAGACGGTTCATCAATGACATGGTGAAGATCTATTCTATCATAGCCACTAATGCAGTTGATGGGGTGGCGTCTTCATGCCGTGCCTGTGCCCTTGGTTCTGAACAGTCGGGCTCATCGTGTGTCCCCTGCCCCCCAGGCCACTACATTGAGAAAGAAACCAACCAGTGCAAGGAGTGTCCACCTGACACCTACCTGTCCATACATCAGGTCTATGGCAAGGAGGCTTGTATTCCCTGTGGGCCTGGGAGTAAAAGCACTCAGGTAAGTAGGCTGTGTTTCGGTTATTCTCAGAGAAGCATATTTTAATAGGTCAACTCAAGCATTCCCCTTAATGTTTCTCTAGAAGTTATAACGTTGCTATTTATTCTGGGAAAAAAAAGAGGTTTTTAATTCCCTTTCCTGTTTGCTCTCTTTTTATGTTTATGCAGCACTGAATGTGTGCTATGAATGGACTGGTTACTAAGAATTTAAAATGTTAAGCAAAGAACTCAAATAAGAAATGTTTTCCAAAAAATGCTGGAATTGATTTCTTATGCATTATTAAGGTAGAGCACATAAAATACTTTTGTAGGTTGGCTGTAGGAATTATCTGAGATGTAGAAAGTGTATCTTACAACATTTAAAGTACAGGTTAATGTTATATTACAGACGGAAGTAAAAGTAGTTTTAAATTGGCATAACAGGAAATTTTTACTATTTCTTAAAGTACCTTCCTATAAGAAACTTATTTAAGAATAACTTTACTCTGACTTTAAAAGAATCCGAGGCCTCTAAACTCTGCCTAGAAAAATTTACAATGTAGAAATTTTCTGTATTAGGATGGTAAAATATAACAAAGACAAAATTACTGAAATAGTTTTTATACCTAGAACTTTTAAGGACACATTTTTAGTAGTAGTTAATACTTTCTTTATTTCAATATTGTTTCTTTGTGTTTTGTTCTCTTTAAATAAAGGATCACTCAGTTTGCTATAGTGACTGCTTTTTCTACCATGAAAAAGAAAATCAGAGTTTGCATTATGACTTCAGCAACCTCAGCAGCGTGGGTTCCTTAATGAATGGGCCCAGCTTCACCTCCAAAGGAACAAAATATTTCCATTTCTTCAATATCAGTTTATGTGGGCATGAGGTGAGTTTTAGATATCAAGAAGAGACAGAGCTGTATACTAGCTCTGATTAAGTTGATATTTTCTGTGTTGGTAAACCAGTAAAATCTCCCTGGGAACTAAAAACCAATGTCAGGAACTGAGCTTTGATTGCTTAAATCCTCTGTTCCCTCTTATCATATTTATAGCTTTCTTTACCAGGGTTGACATCATTTGGTTCTCTGTCCATCAAAGCATTATTCAGTTAGCTGAACCCCAAGACTTGGAGCTGTGGTGTAGTGCATTGAAAGTTTTCTTTTTCTTTTTCCTGATAAAATTGGGCGAGGCTTATTAAACCCCATCTATTTTTTCAGGCAAGCAATTATGATTTGAGAGTTTTATTCTTGCTTATTGTATTATGGTTCTCCAGAAACACAGGAAAAAAATTATATGAGAAAGGATTTATTAGGAGAATTGGCTAATGGGGTTATAGAGGCCAAGAAATCCCATGATAAGCTATGTCTAAGTTGGAGACCATGGGATACTGGCAGCATGTCTGAGTCCTAGTCCAAAATGTTCAAACCCAGAATGTCATTCGTATAATTCTCAATTGAGACTGAAGGCCTGAGAACCCCAGAGGTAGGTGGGTGGTGAGAGTAGGGCTGCTGATGTGATCTGTGGAGTCCCAAAGCCAGGGAGCCTGAAATTCCAATGTCCTGGGCAGGAGAAGTCGAGAGTCCCAGTTCCAGAAGTGAGAAGAAATCCTTTCCCTCTGCCTTTTTGTTCTATCTGGATCCCCAGCTAATTTAATGGTGCCCACTTGCCTTGAGGTGCATCTTCCCAGTCAGTCCACTGGCTTACACACCAGTCTCCTCCAGCAACACTCTCATAAACACCTGCAGAATTAATGCTTTGCCAGTTCTCCAGGCTTTCCTTCAGCCAGCCAGTCAAGTTAACAAATCAACCAGCATACTTATATTGTCAGTTTGATGTCTTCAGAAGAAAAATGATTGTAAGAGGAAGTTTTACAAAATAAAAAGGAGATATGCAGGGACAAATATCAATTGATAAGATAGCCTTTGCTAATAATGGAATTTTATTTTTGTCAGAGGAAGCAGAAACTTTTTTTTAGTGGATCTCTATGTCCAATATTTTTATGGACATATGAAGTTGGTGCTGGGAAGAATGTATATGTATATACCATCAACAAAGTTGAGAATATAATAAGGCATTTCCTCCATGCCTCTTTCTATAGTAACTTCTAAATATTTTCTTCATTATGAAATGCTGTATCAAACTTGTTAAAAGGAAATAGAGCTCTGATGAACACAGAAGTTTAAAAAAAAAAACAACAGATCTATACACTTTACATGATGTATATTTATCCTTTCTTGACTTTACAAGGAGAGATCCAAAATACTTACTATATGGGTTAGTCATCCAGTTTGTTCAATAAGTAAATTTATATTAAATACCTATTGTATGTCAGATATTATATGAGGCACGGAATGAGATTAATTCCATTATCTAGCACACTTCCTAGTTTTATCCTACTGTCTCTTCTTCCATCTTCTCTCTTTTTTTTTTTTCTTTTTGGGGGGTGGGGAGTGGGTTCAAGGGATTGAGTTTAGGGGCACTTGACCACTGAGACACATTCCCAGCCCTATTTTGTATTTTATTTAATGACAGGGTCTCATTGAGTCACTTAGCACCTCACTTTTGCTGAGCCTGACTTTAAACTCGCCGTCCTCCTGCCTCAGTCTCCCAAGCTGCTGGGATTAAAGCATGCATCACCGCGCCTGGCTCTTTTTATTCTCACTCATTTTATTTTAGTCTTTCCTTTGTTTCTCTTTCTTTCCTCAGTACATTCTCTCTGCTCTTTTCCATTATTTTGCCTTAGCTTCAACAATTTAAGATTAGCAAAAAATATATAGAATCCTTATTGGAGTGAGAAGAACTTGTAGAGGGAGAAAAATTTATATGTCATGATTGCAAATTGTGTTAGGAAAGAAAATTCTGTATACTTTATGTCTTTATTTTATTTTATTTTACTTTACTTTATTTTGGGGGGTACCAGGGATTGAACTCAGGGACAGTTGAGCACTGAGTCACATCCCTAGCCCTATTTTGTATTTCATTAGAGACAGAGTCTCATTGAGTTGCTTAGCGCCTGGCTAAAGTGCTGAGGCTGGCTTTGAACTTGCGATCCTCCTGCCTCCTCCTTCTGAGCTGCTGGTATTACAGACTTGTGCCACCATACCCAGCTCTACTTTATGTCTTTCTGTGCACAGTCTATATATCTAAGATAAATGAGATCGTTTTCCTATTTTCTTTTTATATTTCTTTCTGGAAATTATGGAGCAAGCTACAGTTCTTTGCATTGGGATAACAGTATATTTAAATATACTATGTTTAAACCATCTTTCAATTTTTACAAATAAATTTTGCATTCTAGCTAATATCTAAATGATTTTTAAAATTAACCTCTTATATTGTCTTCATTTTATAGTTAAACAGATTCACATCACTGGATCTAAGAGTAGGTGAATAAAGATACTTGAAGTAGGTGAATAAAGATACTGTTTAGAATTTGGACGTGCTGGATTTTTGCTGCAATATGACTTTTAGGCTTTCTTTTTTTTCAGCTTTTATATTATCTTTATGCCACACTCAGGCCTGTGAAGGAGAAGGCAAGGCAAGCCTTTTTCCTTGGCATTAAAACCTTTGCCAGCTCTTTGTTGGTCTCTTTGCATTCCTTCATATCCTGTGAGCTGGACTCTCATAGATGACTTAGTTATATGGCTTCCATCCAACATGAATGAAGAACAGTAGAGCTTGAATAACTGGAGTGGCTCTCAACCTGGGCTGAACATTTGCATTGCCTTGAGAGCTGTTAAAAACACTAATACCTGGGCTTTACCCCAGATCCCTTAAATCAGAATCTCTGTGATAAAGAGAGAGCCATGCTCTCCTAGAGCTCTCCTAGAGCAAGGCTAACTGAGATTCAGTTTAGAGACTGACTTTCAGTAAAACCTCTTGCAACTTTGTTTCCTAGGGGAAGAAGATGGCTCTCTGTACTAATAACATATCGGATTTTACAGTAAAGGAAATGGTGGCAGGATCAGATGATTACACCAACTTGGTAGGGGCTTTTGTGTGCCAGTCAACAATTATCCCTTCTGAAAGTAAGGGTTTCCGAGCAGCCTTGTCATCCCAGTCCATCATTCTGGCAGACACATTTTTAGGTAAGTTCCCCATGGTTAATATGTGCATGCATACATTTATTCTAAAATTATGGTAATGGTAATTTGTTATGACACTGGTGATTACCACAGAAGATTAAGACAAAAAGGTAACTCTAAATCATTATTTTGCAAAATGGTTTAAAAGCTTCTGTGTGTGGGATCTGATCAACCTCTGAGAGTACAAGATTCTAATTTTACATATTAACTCATATGATAAATCATGTTCTATGCCTTTCTTCAGATTCTCTAAGAGTTTAAAAAGCAAAATAATTTTTAAAATTGAAGTAAACAAAACAAAAAAACCAAAGCAAGAACAGTATATAAACATAATCTAAATCTAAATTATAGTATGTGCCACTAATATACATAATTTTTCTGAGATCTAAAGTAAACTGGTAGCAAATGTGAGGTGCTGAGTTTCTCCCCATGTGCTCCAGGTATCTGGGTCCTGAAAGCTATAGGGACGTTTTTAGAAGAAACCAGATTTGTAAGTAGTGATTCTTAGGAATCAAGTTCATTGAACTTGATTGAACCTCTGGGGTGAGGGTTTGGAATCCAGCAAGTGCCATGAGTGGTTGTGATGTGCAGCGATATTTGAGAATCCATGCTCTCTTCTTCATAGGCATGCAGCTTCAGATTCCAGGTCAAGGCCCATCACTTGGCTTGCACTCATCACCAGAACTCTGTTAGAAGCAAAGATGCTGTTAATGCTGGCATTTCAGTTCTATCATCATTTTTCTTGCCTCTTAAATTAAAAAGTCTTGCTTTTCTGCTTATTAGATCAAGAACATTTTAGAGTTATTTTCTGGAAGTTATTAGTATTCACATATGTATATATAATATGTATGTATTACAAATATATTTTACACATGTATATATTGAAGTGTATATATTTTGAAATGGCATATGTCTTTCTGTGCTATCCAGACTGGTCTTGAACTCCTGGGCTCAAGTGATCTTCCTGCCTCATTCTCTTGAGTAGCTGTGGCTACAGATGTGCATGCTGCAGCTGGCTGGGCACAGAAAATTTTACTTTGTCAAATATGTGTATATTGAACCATGATCAAGAAGCTATATTAGCAAAATAGCCTAGCATATTGACAAAACTCACCAGAGGATAACAATTTTAAAAAGTAGATTTTGAACTATTAGAACTGGAAAGTACTTTAGAGAGTATCTAGGTTACTTCATGCATTCAACAGATCCAAAAATAAGACCTAGGGAAGTTAAGTAACTTAAGTTAAATTGCAAGGCCAGGGAGTAGGATTTTTTCTCTTTTGGAGTGTTTGGGAAGTTCCTTATTTTTACCAGGAATGCATTAATTTAATGCAGTATTTCTGGTGAAATGACAGTTATCAAAGTAAAGCTATTTGCTATTCAGATGTACAGAAATTAAATAAACCTAGTTTTCCCATATTGCTTAATAGTTTCTTTTTTAATGTCATCTAGGAGTAACAGTTGAAACCACATTGCAAAACATTAATATAAAAGAAGACATGTTCCCAGTTTCACCAAGCCAAATACCAGATGTGCATTTCTTTTATAAGTAAGTGAAGATACTGCTTTCCTTGAATATTCTTTATCAAAAGGAACGCATATATATCTCTATATATGGATTTTATTTCCCATTCTCTATTGTTAAGTTCGTGGGAAGATATATAATATCACCTCTGGGTGCCTAGCATGGTAGCTTAAATTGAACAGATAATAAAAAAACTGATCATTACGTGACTTAGTAAAAAGAAGGAAACTTGGAATATTTAAAAAGCCTTATGTGATTTCTCTCAAATACACACACACACAAACACACACACACACACATAAATGTATATATTATATATATATACATGCACACATATGCACTTTTAAATTAGGCAATAAGGACACTCTAGTTCATTGTCTAGGTAGTAATTCTAATTCACACAAAAAAACATCAGCCTAAGTAGGTCTGAACCCTGTTCCCTTTAAGAACATTTTGATTATATGCCCTTTAAGAACATTTTGATTATAATTTGATTAAAATTCTATAGCTTTACCAAACATCTTGATTATAGCTTTGTCACTTTACCTGGGAAAGGTGTCAGCTTTGCATAGTCAAAATAAGTGACCTGAATTTGTATTCTAAATTAGCAAACTTTAATACATTTTTCTTCTTCATAGAGCATGAGAATGATTATACACATGATCTGTATCACCTCTGTTTTTTAAAATACTATTTGTCTCATAATAGGTCTTCCACAACTACAACGTCCTGTATTAATGGCCGATCAACTGCTGTGAAAATGAGGTGTAATCCTACTAAACCTGGAGCGGGCGTGATTTCAGTCCCCAGGTATTCTTATTTATATGTGATTGTTCCACATTTGTATTTTATAGTACACATAATAGATATATACATACTTATTTTTAGAGGCAAAACCTAGAATCTTATTTTAAAACATTATTTATGGAAATAAAGCAGAAAGAGAACAAAAGTATCTGTAGGTTTTTGTTGAGGGATATACTAAGCATGGGTGAAGAAGAAAGAATAGGTACCTGGTCAATATCAATATTTCCCTATCTCCTTAATGACATATCCTTATTCCATTTGCCTTGAATATCTAATTCTTTTGAAAGTTATTTAGGTACAATTAATTACACTGTGTCCTTGTATTTATTCTTAGTGTTTCATATAAATTTCCTTGAGAGCTGGATTTAGTACAAGATTAACAACTAACTAGTTGGGTGATCTTGATTAAGTAATCTAACCTCCGAGTTATAGTTTCTTTCTCTGAAAGAGGATGGGACCAGGGTGGAGAGTTTGTAAGATTCATTTACAGCTCCTCAGACTTCTGTTTAATGATAGGGGAATCACTGGTTAGTCTGGCCTACAGGATAAAATACAGTTCATTCCCCTGACTGACTGGCATTGAGGTAGCAGCACTTCACAGTCTAGATATGATTATACAGTTCACTTTGTGTGGGCACAGTAGGGGAGCATAAGCAATTTCCTGGGTTTAGAAAACTGTCAACTTAAGTAAAGGCTGCTTTCATGGTGTGAGGGACATTCAAATGTCTCTTGATTTTTATTTTTCACATTTATTGTTCAGTGTTTAGATTATTTTTCACATGTTTTGTTCAGTATATAGATTATTTCTAATCTTATTAGTATTAAGGTATCTTTGGATCGTAGTTCAACTTGCAGATTTTTCTCCATTAAACTTCAAAGTCATGTATTTTGAAAAAGAAAATGATTGATTTTTTTGATAATTTCATAATAACCCCTGAGAAATTTTAGCTATTTTGTTTATGTCACATCAGGATAGGAAATTAGTGGTCTAAGCATTGCTTCATTTTGTGTATCCTAAAAATAACTGTAGTGGAAACACACTGTTTTTAGTTTCTTTTGGGGTATAAAGGCATACCAGCATTCACATCTCACCAACTGCATCTCTCTGGTTTTCACAGACCTACAAATTAATTATTCTTTTCACCTATTCAAGGTGATAGAAGAACGTGATGAGAGGAGTATAAAAGGTAATAAATGGCAGAAAAAGGAGCAGGGAGAGACAGATGCTCTGTAGCCTCAGATGATCCTTCTGCAGCCTCTAAGCCAGAGTCCAGGCAGCAAACCACACTGTCTTTATGAAAAGATGTGTTTAGAGGGTACAGTGATAAAAGCTCAAGTCTTTCATCATTCTCTGATAGTCTGCCAGAGAGCCTGGAGTTCAGGTGCTCCTTCTATTTACTGTAGCACATCTGAGGTCCCTTTTGGACCTTGCAACTAACCTCTTGAGGGCTATCCTCTGGGAGCCTAATTGGATGGCTTCTGAAGCCTCTGCTAGGTCTTTGATTCAAACAAATCATGCTCCTAAAGGATTGTTCTCACCTTAAGAGAGTTTATTACTCTGACTCTGCTAAGGTACGTCTTGATGTTTTAATGCAATAACAAAAATAGTCTCAAAGGGTTAAATGATGGCATCTAGAAACTGAACTTTTCCTTGAGAGGAGAGAACCAGTTAAGTTTCTTTTCTCACCTCTGGCAATCTTTGTCACTTAGGGATTAACTGTCTTTGCCAGGGTTTTTTAATATCATCTGCAACCGAATACCTTAGGGTCTCTATTTTTAAAACTGATTTCTAGAACTTACAGAATGTCTGGAGGTTAACACAGGAATATTTTTAAAAACGCAAGGTGATTATGTTGCATATTAAAATTTGAGAATAATTTATCTTAACCTACATTTTTAGATATGGCTTCCCCCCCACCCCCCCAGAGACAGAGTTTTGCTTCTTGGTTTTGTGAAAAACTGATTTAAAATGCCATGGTCTTCAGAGTAGAGTCTTCGCCGTATCTTGAGAGCTCTTTGTCTGAAGTTGTGATGCATCCTGATGTGTACAGACCATTCCTCTAGGGAACTACTTAAATCCCACAGTCTAAATGTGCTGACCTCTAGTTTTTCCTTGAATCTATTTCCCATCAGGGCACAAGGGGGAGCTCAGGGACCAGAATATGAGAAACAGCAGCTTATCCTGAAATAATTGGATTTCTTTCTTTCTTCCTTTCTTTTCTTTTCTTTTCTTTTCTTTTCTTTTTTTTTTTTTTTTTTTAGCTTCAGGGCTGAATAAAGATTTCCTACAAACAGGTTTCTCAGGCTGCTTTTTAAGAGATCTCATTTTGCACTTTTTTTTTTTTTAAGCTTTAAGATCTCCAGGGAAGATTGAGAGATGCTAACTAGACCCCAGTCCTTGAGAAGCCTACTGTACTAAGAAGTCTCAGAGGGAGACCTTGGTAGCTTGAAAATGATGCCATCCCCAGGAATTCTCCTTCTTGGCCAAGAATACTGGCAAATCAGGCCAAAGGATATTAACAGTAATAATGTTGGTTGAGATTTTGAATCTCAGTGGCCTAGGAAACTGTTGAAAGACCTTCAGTCCTTGAAAAGTGAAAATGTCTTAATGCGGGGTGGAGAGAAAGGGAAATGGGGGTTCACTCTGGGTGAGAAAAAGGGAATGGGTGTTTTTTCTGTGTGGCACGTGAACTTCACAGGAGCAGCAAGTCATCTGGGCTGCCTACTCTTGTGCAATTGAAAACACCAACCTGTCTGTTTTGTCTGGCAAATGTATTTGGTTTCTAATTCCACAAAGTTTGTGGAGGGTGTGAGACATTTTAGTTGAAAATTTAGCAGCCTGGAGTCTGCCTTGTACAATCTGACAGCTGGAATGGACTTTTGAGTTTTTGTAGTGAAGTTTGCTCCTTGGGTAGAGACTATATTACCTACATAATAGACTATAAAGATCCCTAGGTTAACCTCTAAGCTTCCTAAATAGATGTCTCTCCAGGCTTTCTAAACCTAAGTTATGATCTGAGGTGCATGGAGAAACCAAAGCTTCCTTTTTCATTAGGAGTAATGCAGACTTAAGTGTGTCCAAAGGACTCATGAGTCCTGGGAATGTGGTTCAGTATAAAGTGCTTACCTGGCATGCAAGTGGCCCTGGGTTTAATCCCCTGTACCACAAACAGACAAACAAACAAACAAACAAAACATCCTATTCACAAAATCATGAGAAATTATTGGAAGATGAAAAGGTTATATTGTTGCAGGAAATACACTGGTTGAGAAGCAGCAAGCAGTCCTCAGAGGGAACTCCAAACTATTTTATTGTGGAGGGCCCAGAGGAAAACAAAACTCCAAATTCTGAGTCCTGATCCACAGTTTCTCACAACATTGATAGGTTATTTGGCATCATTTAGACCCATCCTATCACTGGGGCTTTTTTCCTCTTTAAAAAATATTCCTACTTTATGGGGCTAAAGGCCTTTTATAGGGTCTTTAACATAAAGCATGCTCACAGAAACAGATAAGAAGAAAGGGGTCTTTTCACAGGCATCTGTTACATTGCAAGAAGGAGTAGTCAGACTCCTAGGGCATTTATTTACAATCCAAAAAGGTAGGGTCCCATGGTTAATTAGGCTTCCTGGAGAAAGGCTGAAAGAGGGGAGGAGAACTGACTCTTTCTCCAGGCATTGGTTTCTTACCATAATGTTTTTATAATTTCATTTCATAACCAGGTTTGGTTTTGCCATCACAATATGAAGTCCTTCTTAGAAAGCAGGCTGTGGGAACCATTTTTACTCTCATAATAGATCTGCCATAGTGTCAATGAGATCCTTGAGTCAAACCCATTTCACTTCACAGAGCAGGAAACAAGGCCCCAGGTTGTGTGGCTAAGAAGTGGCATAGTCACGATGCAGTGATCTCCCGACTGCCTCTCTGGTTCTTGTCACTCCATGTTCTTTCATTTTGCCATTTCCCTTCCACTTACTTATAGGCAGAGATTTGCATAGAATCCCACTAAGCAAAGAGGCATGTGGCATATTTATCCCAGAGAGAACTCAACTGATGTACGAGATATTGGTACCTTCTTATAATAAGGTTGTTAAAGCATCATCCTGATCTCTTTCCTTCCCTTCATCCCTCCCAATTTATGACTTTGTTTAGCTGCTTGAGTAGCTTAAAAATTAGTCTAAAATTGTTTTTCAAAATCTTTCTCAAATCCCAAATCCATCTTAATTTTCAGTGTGGTCTCTGGGGCTATTGTACCCCATGAAAGGGCTGCTTCACAGTTCTGTTCAGGGGTGGGGCACTGCAGAGGTGTGTTTTACAGGTTCTAACTTATAGACATTTTAGCAAAATCACCAGAATTATTGGATGCTAATGTAGTGTTTTGTTTGATCTTTGGAAAGGATTGTTAAAGCCAGAAAGTCTATCCATTTTAAGTTAAGAGCCCAAGAAAGATGTTTAAGTGATTTCCTTATTTTCTTGTTTCCTTTGAACCTTTATGGACAAACAATACATGTCTAAGTCTGTATAAGGTAAATTAAAAAGGCAATAGATCTCAAATTATTAAAGCCAAATATGTTATTAGAATATTAAAATGTATGAAGCATATAATGGCATTTAGGAGCATATGTGATAACTGAAAGCCATTATGATCAAGAATTGGAGAAGTCAATACTTGCTGAAATTGTATAGTTCAAACACTAACAAGTAATCTTCAGATGCAACATGATGACATTACAAGACAGTCAAAGTTTTAGAATCATTTTGAAATATTTATAATAAAACTTAATTTTTTTTCACTAGAGAAGAAAAAGAAAATGTGGATAAAAGAAAACTGGGCAGTCAGTCAGTTAAGTTTGTCCAGATCTTCATCAGATGCTGACTTTAGATAATTAATCCAGGATAGTCTCTTTAGAAAGGAACATTTTTTTTTTCAGGAGATTGGTATAATTCAATATCCCTATATCAAAGAGCTTCCAGTAAAAAAAAAAAAAAAAAGCAAAAAAAAA